TCAAGAGGAAACTAGGAAGCCAACGACCTCAAATACCAGTTAATTCTTGTGTATTTTAGATTTGATATGAAAGATTCGGATGGTATAAACGTTAAAAGCAGAGTTTGGGTGTGAGATATGTAAATACATAAGAATTGGATGGTTATGTATGTGAATTTTCCTTTTATGGATGCAAAGTACTCACAAAGCAATGACAAACAATGATATTTTAAAGTATTCGTTGGCTTGGTATTCTTTCTGCTTGCCTAAATTCTGATTTGATGTTTTCAATATGCAGTTAAGTAATGTGCCATCAAAAGATTTTTATATAAGAGCTGATGAATTCCAACATATGGTGAATCCTTCCTTCAGTGGTGTTGTTATAGCTGGTTGAAAATTAGGAAACAATTTAGACATTTAATCAAAAGAAAGGTAGGAATTAGAAACCTGAAAAACCATCGATGGCTCAACTTCATCTACATGACCATCCTTATAATCAAAGTAATTCTTCCAAGTCAATTAGCAAGTGAAGCAATAATACCAAGAAAGCAGGAGACCATCCAAATTTAGATGCATTCAAAATACTAAAAAAAAATTCATAGATAACTGAAGTATGCTGACCACTCAAAATTTCAGAACACACTAAAATATGAATCTGAATTCACTAATTATTCATGCATTCGAATAAAAATTCTATGTAATATCAATCCAATGAAATTAAGTCGTCGTTCATCCCCACAGAACGAAGTCACTTCCTTAGCTCACTTCTCATCCACCTAGCGTTGGACTCCATTGGTTTCGAGAGAAGCGCATGAATCATTTTTGTGTTCTTCGATAACTTATCAAAAACAAAGTTAAATTTTTTCTCTAGGAATCCTAAAATATTAGACAACTCTGTCATTAACTCAGTGAATATTTTTCTCTCTTATGAGGCACTTGTTGTGCTTTTTATAGCAATGGTAACTTACCGATATTGTTAGTCATCATAGCAAAGTACTCATGAATACTTCAGTCATTAACAAAATTTCTATGTTTTTTTTAGCCACACCCTTTCGAGAAAGATAACATATCTCGCTTCATCGTTATTTTGCTACCTTCTACCATTTCCACTTCAGGCAACTGCATAGAAAGTGATGCATCTCCTCCAATCCCTCCAAAAGCTTCATTCAGCTCATCTTCCAAATCTATTTGTTGGGTGTCAAGAAGAGTTTGATAGCCCAATCTCCGACAACATGACCTTCACAACATATTTTCTCCAACTCCATATAATTTGCAATTGGGACATTGAGAAGTATTGCATCTCTAGGAAAAAGTTTGTGACACAATAAACATAAATGATTGAATTTATTTTATTTTTTTTATTTTTTAAAAAAAATTAAGTAAAAGTAATGCCTGAATATGAGATATGTCTTCCTCATGACCCATTTATATAATTTTTTTTTTCATCCCAATACATGCTAATTTTTATTTAGTTCTTGAATACAACTACATAAAGTTCTTTGATGTCGAATTTATTTCTTACATTACTCCCTTGCAACTTCAATTCCAGATTTCTCTTTTAGCTTTTGAGCAACTCCTTGGTAAATAAACTCCTTAAACCCTTGGGCAATTCGCATATTTGAATCAATATACACCGTCATAATTTGTAACAAACTAGTGACACACAACCTTTAAGTTCCAAATAAAGTTTTTTTCTTTTCTTATTCCTTGAAGCAACTGAAGTACTTGTTGACAATTGTGTAACCATAATTCATGTCAATAATAAACACCAAGCTAAAGTTATATAACCAAAAAATGTAAAAAAATATTTATAGTGCCACAACAAATTTAAGATATAATGTTTAGTGGGAAAAAAAAAAGAAATTTACATACAAAGAAAACATATAAAAAACATAAGAGAAAATTGATACTATCACACTCAAAAGTGAACTAATATATTTCAAAAAAATAAAATTTAAATTACATTTCAGCTAATAGCCAATAGTATTCATGTGATTCCACATTGGAGCATATATTTGATTTCTTTTTTCCAACTACTCTTAAGATTCATCTAAAATGAATTCACATCTTCTTCTAACACGGCTTCGTCTGACCCATTCATCTTTTGAGATAATAAGGTTATCCTCACATTCAGTAAGTATTCAATTATTTAATAGGCAACAAAGCACTTATCTAAACCTTTTCATGAAAGCCAACTCAGGACTCCGGTCACTTTGTTGGCTCCAAATGGCTTATCTACGGAGCACCAAAGTGGGTCCAACGCATTTTTATTGTCCCCCTCTATCACAACTCCTTGCATTTCAAGCATCCACGGTTGATCCACTTTGGGATGTCGATAGGTGTAAGGAGAAAGTGAGGGTGGGTGTAGCTTTATTTATAGACTTCATGGAAGGCTTAGTGGATTGGCCCCACATTACCTAGCAATGTTTGTGCATTTTAAGGTTCTCCTTATGAAACAATGTTAGCTTATCTTTGTAATGGAAAGTACGGCTTGCATTTTAGAAATGCGAACTAGTTCTTCAATGAACCAAATGCATGCTCCACAATTGTGCGTAGCGAAGGGTGTTGAAGATTGAATAACTCTTAATAGTTTGTTAGTTTAATGTCATTAAACTCCTTTATGTGATTTCTTGTTACATGATATGAATAGATGAAACCTTTTTTGGTTGAGTAATCACAATCAACTAAGTAGTATTTACCAGCAATAATTAATAGTCCTTATTTATTAATAATATAACTATTTCTAAACTTTTATATGTTTAATTAGTATACATTCTAGAAGACATAAATCATCTAGTCGTTTTGATGCATTTATAAGAACCATTGTATCATGGGCTGAACCTTCCCAACTTGCTAGAACACAAGTAAATCTCAAGTCAAAGTCCAATTTTGCTAGCACATTTTGACTTAAATATAGGTTTCTTCTTCTAAAGAATATTTCGTACTTCTTAGGTACTTTCGCCTTAACGTGCTTACTATCTATATCTCCAACACAATCCTATTCACATAATTATTTTAGAAGAAGCATTATAAATAAAATGTAACTTGAAATGTTATGTGTGAATGTACCTTAAAATATGACATAATCTTGTTTTTTATATGGAGTTTGGAGTAGTGGAGGCTTAATCATTTCATGTCTCAGCTCTCTAATAACATATAATATATTTTTAAAGTACCCATTAATAGTTTTTCTTGATCCTTGAAAGTTGAATCGTATGACAAGATTACAAATATTGCCGCCAAATATATGTAGAAACATAACAACCTGTTCCTCTATGCACACATAGCTTGTATCGACAAGCAAATCTTTTTGTTCGCACTAAGTTATATAAGTTGAAAAAAAATGTTATTTTGTCATTCGCATCGTGTTTCCACAATCAAAATTAGAATCACAATAGAGCCTTATCATACAAAGTTGTAAAATTCTTGAAATTTACTTCACCAATTCTTATCAAATGTTTTAAGATTTCACTTTTGTAGAAAGACATAATTAGACAATTTATCATAAAAGCTAATAAGAAGACCAACATTAATAAAAATCACCATAATTTATAAGCACAAATGAAGACCTTCATTTAAGAACAGAACAACCAGAAGAACATGATATATAATCCGAGATAATTACCTATTATGTAAAATCAAACTAGCTAGCATAAACAAAGTAAAAAGTTTAGATCACATGTGATTGTTAAGAATAGTTATATAATTTTAGACAAAAAAGCAAGAGGATAAAAAAATAACTGCAATAAAGATCTCAAATACAAAATGTCAAATTTATATGATCTAATAAGATTTATTTACATCCACAATCACATAGAGATGTATATTTCAATAAGTTGCAAAAAGAAACATACATATAGAGAGACATTACACTTGATCTAAATAAAGATCAATCTATCACATTTGTCTATGCATTAGATTAAGAATAAACATTGCCAGCAATGAAGATGAGACTGAATCATGAAAAAAGAAAATATTAATGATGCATCTGTTTCTCTTTTCTATATTGTGAGAGCTTTTTTTTCTCCTCATCTCCTCCTATTTCTTCTTCACTACAATTACTTATGATTATGCAATATTTCAGCAATATGAGAACTCTATACATGAAAACAGTAAAAGACCTACATGCAATTTCTGATTTCCAAAAACATCATAAGTTTATTTAGCGTTTGGCAAGCATTCTGAGAAGCATGTAAAGCATCTATTGATTGTTAACTCATAAAAAGATGCTCCATACTCTTACCCTATATAATCTCCTTACAAATTCAATCATGGGACAAAATATATAGTACAGGTTCTGAAATTCCTTCCTTTTTCCAAAACCGCGATTTAGAAATCCCTTTGGAAGGCAGGTTTGCTGCCAGATAACTCATTTTTTTATTTTATAGATAATAGCAATTATTCAGGGGTTGTTGGGGGATATTAGGTCAGAACTCTCGATGCATCTGAAGTCTAATAGTAGGGTGTCATGTGACAAACGGGCCCCATAAATTTTAACACGAACCAATCCCTCTGAACACAAATTGCGTCCGGATCTAATATTTACTCAAAGACGGGAGTTCGGAGTTACACATACACCACGATGCCCGTTAGCTTGCTTTTTTTCTCTATTTTCAGATTTGATGATATTATTGAATATTTATTTCACTCGAATATATTACTCACCAAACAAAAAAAAAAGTTAAAATTCATGTATTTATTTTATTTACATCCATTTTACATCAAAACAAACCACCTCTAGATTAATGCTATCATTCCAAAAAGAAGTGAGATTTATATTAACCTTAATCAATTTTGAACAAAGTTAAGAAAAATAAATAAGTTCTTTTTAATTTTGGGAGTGATAGCATTAATCTAAACCATATTCTAGATTCTAACATTAATATCCCATGAATGAGAATGCCTCAACTTTACACCATTCAGCTGGATCTCTTAAAAGCAGATTAAATTAGCTCATAAATTGAACTATCAGAAACATAAAACCATATAGAGCAGTGATAGTACAACAGGAATTAACCGACCAAAAGAGAGAAATCTACATTTATAATTTCCATACGAAAAATCATATTATACATGAGAAAAAATAAATAAATTAGTAGACAGAAGCCTAAAAACTACAAAACTACAGCCACCAAACTTTAATTAATCTCAAAGTTCCCTTGGAGGTGTTTGGTAGAGCCTATTAACAGGATATATCGCCGGATTTACAAAATCTAGCCAAACATAAAGCGCAAATTCTATGAATTTATAAAATTTCGGATTTAGAGTCCGAATTTTGCCTTCAAATCATGTTAAATGCAACAAGGGAGTGGATTTAGTGATTTACTAAATTTTAGTAATGCTAAACACGCCCATAATTTGCCGAGCATCATCTGGCAGCTCTATGAACCCCATTTCTTAGACCAATTCCAAAAGGCGGCACACCTCTGATCCTGTACAAGAGCTGTGAAATCTCCTCACAAGCTATATCAAGCCTCTCCTTCGACCTGGTAGCTTCAGAGACAAGGGATGAGATCATAGACTGCAAGGCCTGAAACCTTTCATTTTGCTCAACAGGAACTTCATCTTCACCAAGTGATGGTTTGGATTGCAATGAGTTCACTCTCCGCCACCGTAGAGGTAGATAACGTTCTGGAATCTGGAAAAAGTTGATGGTGGAGAGGACTCGAAGAGCATGCCTGCATAGAATTCCTGAGAACTCAAACATGTGGCAGCTGCAGGAAAGGAATTCCTCCCTTGAGTCCCAGTAGACCTTCCGCCCTCCATCCATTTTCGTATGGTGCCGAACAAGGAAGCAGCTCTCTTCTACCTGAAACGAGGCATAATGAGCGGCCATGACAAACTCATCTTGAAGCTTGCAGAAGGCATAGGGAGTCAGGATAGCAGCAGCATGAGCTTCCATGGGAGCACCAGTTTTCACACAGATGTTCTGTAGGTTTTGTTGCATGGTTTGCTGTTCTGCTGCTTGGTCTTTGAAGTCTACAGCAACGGCAGCCTGCCAAAAGAGAACAGTAAGTTCATGTGTGTTGACAAATCTGGCTGGGAAGTTCTACATACGCAACCTTCATGCATACAAAAGAATGTATAATTTAAGCGCAATACTCTTTCAAAGTAGATAAAGGTTTTGAACAATGATTAGCTTGGCTTCATTTTGACTAGAATGTTATGAATTTAAATTATAGAAACAACTTCATAGTAAAAGAAAAAAGTTGTATATAACAAATCCAACACGGACCAGACTTCGTGGGGAAGTTTTGTGCACTGGATAGGCTCCATTTTAGCCTGCACATGCATCTTCAGCATTGCTAACAACTGCATAACTTCAATAATCCAAGCTAGAGCTGCGTAGCTCTTCTATATAAAAACTTCTTTCCCAAGAATGGGACAGGCCGTCCCAAGGAATCTAATTTTCTATTTCAAAGGAATCTAATAACAAAAGTTCTTTCTATTTCGAAGTTTCAAAGGTATATATTGTGACATTATGAAATTATTTTGCCATCTATTTCAAAGTTTCGAAGGTAAATATTGTGACATTATGAAATCCAAAGATGGAAGGAAGTAACCTCCGGGGCCAAGATCTGGACAAGAAAGTGGCTACTGGTAGGCTTTTAAGTTAGCAAGCTTCTGAGAGAAAAAAGATGGATGGAATGAACCAAATTAATAGCACGGGAAGAAAGCTTTGCACGAGGGTTATTAGACTAAATATAGATGAATTTTTAAAAATATGAAAAAAAAAATTTAAATAAAATTGACGCATTAAAAAAATTAGCAAAATCGATAAAGTTTGTTATTATTAAACTAACGAAAATATGTTCGCGAACGGTAATGTCAATGGTTTAAAATTTAGACAATAACATAGGATCTACCCGGACACAATGAAATAGTCTCCCAATAAGACCCTGGACAAAGTTGTGGCACTGAAATAAATGTCAATCTACCCCCTTCCTGCTCGCTCCCTTCATTTTACATGAAAGACCCGAGCTCCTCCGCCCCTCCATCCCTCCCTCACCATGATCAGACTGAGCTCCACAACCACTCAGAAAAATCTTCAGAGTAGAAAAGGTTTGAACGCAGCATTAATCCAGCATCACAAAGTGCGCAATTATTTTAATTATATTGTTAGTCAAAATTTTGTCAAACTACAACAAAACTTGCTAGAAGTAACCATTCAAAAAAGAAAAGTAGTCAAACAATTTAAGCTTCTAGTTACTGTAAAAGGGATTTATATGCCATTAAATGGGTAGAGAACATACTTGCTCAAAGAAATGAGGTAGTCGAGTCTGTGCATTGAGAAAACGCTGAATGAGAGCATTTACTGCTTTTGATACGCCTGGGGTAGTCATTCCTGCAAAGAAATGGCTTCTTAAAAATGACAAAGCCCAAAGTGTTCTAGATGTAAACATGTTGGTGATATGTCTATTGGTATGAAGCCCAAATCTGTGAATCATCCCCCTCCATCCATTCTCAAAGTCCTCGGAGGTTTCCAAACTATAAAGCCTATAGAACTCACTCTTCCAATCATTGTATCTGTCTCCAAGAACAGCATTGAAGCAAGATGGAAACTTCGCCACAATATGCCACATGCAAAAAGCATGTTTGGTTGTCGGCATCTCAATCCCAATTGCTTCTCTAAGACACATATTTTGGTCTGTCATAAGTGTTTGTGGGGCTTTTCCATTCATAAATTTTAAGAATACCTGCCACAAACAAACCAATACAATGGCTTAAAAATAAAAGAAATCAAACAAACTCTTCAATGAAAGAAACCAAACAAACTCTTCAATAAAAGAAACCAAACAAACTCTTCAGACACCTTTAATGCCCATGAGAAGGCATGAACATTCTCCTCCCTCAAAAGCACGCAGCCAAAGAAGCAAGGTATTCCATAATTGTTCATGCCAACCCAAATTCCAAGTGGCATATCAAAAGCATTAAGGCGGTGGGTGGTGTCAAATACGACCGCATCACCAAATATCTCGTAAGACTGAACTGCAGAAGCATATGACCAAGAAATATTTTCCAGCCTGCCATTCACATCAGTTGTAAATTCATATCTAAAGCTGGGATCTTTCTCCTTATGGTTTCTGCACATTCTTAGGAGGTCAAGGTTTTCATCATCCTGCTCCACCCTCCTAAATGACTGAATAAGATTCCGTACATCCTTCTCAGTGAAAGGGAGATATCCAGGTTCAACACACTTTTCAAGCTCCATGAGTCTCATCATCTGCTGCACAGAAATTCCAGTTTTCGAGAACATTAATATGCGATTTTTATCAACATCGGATATAGTACGGTAGGCAGGCAGAAACCGAACTAGGTTTGGCTCCAAAAGTTCATGGTTATGGTTGATTGCAAACCCAGTAACATGCCATTCAGAGAGCCCCATCTCAGTGCATCTGCTAATGCGCATATATGCCTGACATCCACAGCGAGAAGATTTTCGATTTCTTTGTGGTTTAGTTTTGCTTGATACCTTAATAGGAGTATTCCCAGCACGATGACAGACAAAATAACGTCGTGTAATTCCTTTACCAACCCCATCCTTCCCTTCAGTTCGATGTCGACGGATAGAAAAGCCACATCCCTTGGCAAAATGACTGTAGAAGTCATAAGCCGCATCATGGGTAGAAAATCTCTGGCCGATGTAAGGAATTGCATCATTTGGAGTTTCCAAGGATATATGCTGAGGAGATTCTTCAGTGCCGCTACTGTCATCCAGGGAAAAGGATCTTTGCTGAGACTGTTCATCAAAGACATCTAGCATTGCATTAGCCTCTTCAGTCATCTTCAAACACAGCATATAAGTACCTGGGTGATAATTTGAAAATAAAGTAGATTAAAAAATCAAACCACACCATACACAAAAGTATATTTCTTTTATAATGAATTAAAATAAAAGACTGATAAAGCCCAAGGGCTAATATATTAAAGCGGAAAATATTAAGAAAGGTTGTATAAGATGACCTAAAAGAAAGTCTGACTCACACAATACAACACACAAAAATCTCAAATAAAGCAAAGATGCATAAAGGTAAAAAAACACTTTAGTCCTAAAAGAAAACAAAAAGCCACCAAAGAGCGCAAAAGTACTAGGGACGTCCCACTTTTAGTCCCCCCTCAGCCTCTATTTCTCGTAAGTGAGCCGGCTAACAAATTGGTAAGATGAGTACCATTGTCCGAAGTAACCAAAATATCATCCATCAGATTTCCGAGCTCAAGTAGATTTCCATTTTTCTTCTTCCTCCTGGATGTGTAGACCTGTCATTCCTTATCCGATGATTGACTCATCTGATCAGTAGATTCCAAAGTTGGTCGGGCAGGTGTAGGTTGTTGCACATTATAATCCTCATGAATCTAAGTAACATTAACAACTTGCTCGACCTAATGAGGCGGTAGTGAAGCATTAGAAGTATTGTCCCCTGTAATATCGGTGATAGGTTCTAGGGCAGGTGGGGTTTGAAGAATCTCCCTCTCCCCCACTATAGAAGGTTCCAAAGACAGGGGAGCTACAACTGGGGACTGAATGGTTGACATATTGCCTGCGAGAATAGTGACGTCTTCAGGGGATAATCAATAGTGTCGAAAACTTAAAGGTCATCAAGAGGAGATGGAATCAAGTAGATGAAATCATTTCCTCTGGTAGAGCACTGTGTTTTTTTGGTTTGAGTTGGGGGTGTTGATGATGGCATTGAGAGCCGGAGTAGCAAAAAATACGACAATTCGAACAATACGAAGAAAAATGCTCAATCATTACTTTTGTCAATATCCATGATGATGTGTGCCCAACGAAATTTCCTCAAAACGGATGAAATGATGTCTCTTTCAACAAGTACTCTGACTTCAGATGGGCGAGAAAGATTAAAAGTAGGAATGTTCGTTTTGAGTGACTTGTCATAAGCTGAGACAATAGAATACAATATTTTTTGAGTAAAATAATGAAATTTCATACTAGAGAGGCGAATCTAAAACGAAATGACTGGAAGTTCTGTCTGAATTGGTGGTTTCGTATGTGGATCAAAACCCACAGACCATTTCAGAATCTTCATTGCTCTGCTATCAATTCAGATTATCCTTCTAGCAAATAAACGTGTGTAATCCTCTTCATTATTTAGTCGTATAAAAATGTCTTCCATCTAACAGTCCAATTTTTCACTCCCCACCAAGGTGCATAAGCTCAAATTCCTTATGAATCAGCTCCATTTTGAGATGGTCATACAGAAATTTTCCGACCAAATTCAGTCGACAGAAGGAAGCAAGTTGAATACCTTCAGCTCCTGTAAAAAAAATGGCAAGCTTTCTATACTTCCTACCTGATTTTTTTATGTCCTCCACCCACTCAAACGAAGGAGAAAAAAATACAATTTAGTTGTACCTGAGGCATGGGCACCTGCAAGGGCAGCAGCATACGATATGTCCGAAGCCATCCCCAATAGATGGAGGTACGATGCTAAGAACAGTGAAGAAAGCAAAGCAGAGAGCAAACTCCAAATCCAGAACAGGAAGCAGGAGCGGAAACCCGAAGCCCCAGCAAATTCAGCTCGAGCTCGAAGACGAGAGGCGATGACTGGAAGGCGTGGTCGAACGAGCAACAAACAACTAAGAGATGTCGAGAGCCACAACTGAGCCTGATGCAGCCAAATGAGCAACAGACGACACGAGCGACGCAGTAGACGACGCACGTCAACAACGGCGAAATAGACGGAAGCGATGAAATCAACGAACGACGAGCAGAGCTTGATCGACGAAGAGATGCAATGGAGTAATCACCAAGGATCGCCATAGCAAAACCCTAGCAGAGCGTGAGCGCCATGACCAAAAAGCCACCAAATGGCGCAATATATATATATATATATACAAAAGGTTGATCGCTAATCAACCTCATAATCTGACCGAGGAAACGACCTCCCTTCCACACAAGGGTGTAATTCGATCCTACGCAAGGATCGAACCCCCGACCCGAGGGACTTACACCAAAGACGGAAACCAATGAGTCAGACTAAGACGCGCGCGCGCGCACAAGCCTTTATCCCACTAAGTAAAATTGCTAAATAAATCCTTTTTCTCCATTGAGTCATATTGAGTGTCATATTTTCATCTAATTCTAATAAATTTTAATCATTTTTACACAACAAGCCCAAATCTTTTTAAATCTACCTCAGCCTTTCTTAACATAAGTTGAATATATATCATCTACTCTCCTAACTGGATCATCAATTAGTCGATGTTCAATGTGATCAAACCATATAAGACGACTCTTTCTAAACTTGTGTGTCGTTGGAGCTACACCAACCCTTCTATAGATACATTTGTTTAACATTTTTTCTCAGTGTGCCAAGCCACTCATCCACTTAAGCATTCTAAATTAGTTTTATATTTCTCTTTTAAAGGCCAATATTCTGCGCCATAAAGCGTTGCAGATCTCACCACCATCTTATAAGATTTTCCTTTAAGTTTAAGTGATACTTTTCTATTACACAATAGACCTAATGCATTCCTCCACTTCAACCAACCAACTTGAATTCTACTAATAAAATCCTCATCTATATCACCATCACTTTGAACAATAGACCAGAGAAATTTAAAACGATGCTTTTTAATGATTTGATCACCTATAATTACAACTCTACCACTAGAGCTACAATTACTAAAATTACATTCCATGTATTCAATTTTAGATCTACTCAAACGAAGGCCTTTAGGCTCCAATGCAGCCCACCATAATTGAAGTTTATGAACTCTTTCTCTAAGCTTGGCTTCATCAAATTGTGATTGTTTCACTCAGTTCAATTACTACCACCAGCGCCTGTAAGGCGTGATCCCATCATCGCGCCTGGCGAGCTCTTATCGTGATTGTATTGATGAAGATAGTGACTATATGTCGCAATACCAATGATCTTTCTAGCGCCTGTATGTTGTGATACCTTCGTTGGTCTCCTGGCTTGATCTAATCGCGACAATTTCGATTGGCTAGGTCACAAAGGAGACGTTGCGGAGACGATGAAGGATGGAAGCTTTGATACCAATTTGATCGGAATTTGACACAAATTTCTCATAAAAATTAGGGCAAAAGATAATTTATTTCATGAAAACCAAACAACACAATCCAAATACATAAAAATAGGCACCTATATTTCAAGAGGTAGGCGATCTCTCTCAAATCCTACTACTTGAGAAATAGGAAGTCTCTCCCAAACCCTAACAATAGGATTCAAGAGAATAATCTCATGCACAACCTTAAACCTAAACATATTAGCCCTATTTATACTAAACATTAATAAATAATTAAAAAACTAAATTGCCCATAGATAAATAAAAGACAAAATGTATTTCCCGATCTAACAAATTGATGCTAGTCAAATGTATTTCCCGGCACTGTTGTCTATGTCTCCTCAACCATGACACTTTCCATTTGGTGCTTTTTGACAATAACATTTTCTTATCAAACAATGCAGGGGTAGTCATAGCATAGAGAACATCAATCCTCCCAAGTGCCCCCTTGAACAACAGAATTAATCCAGATAACCAGGACTTGAAATTGTGTAGTACTACAATAAAAGGCTGCAACTTGACCATGACAAGATCTCCTTCACTAAAGAAAAAAAATCTCTTCAATTGTGATATGCCGATATTTTAATTTGGAGTTGCGCACGCTGCAGATTATGATGTGATAGGTGCAATAATTCACTCTGTTCCATTAAGACTGCTAGTGGTACAATTGAAGTTTGTCCCCAAGTGCATGCAGGAGCTAAAGATGTTGGTTGGTCGTACAAAGCTTGATTAGGTGTCACTATAGAATGGAAACTGATGTTATAAAAATGTTTTGCCTGAACATAATTTTGGTTCATCTAAAGTTTAAGCTCGTTGATATTACTCCAAAAATTGCTTTAAGACACCAGCCTAGCCATCTGATTGTGAGTGGTAAGTTGTGCTATAATGAAGCATTGCCACTTACAGCAAATAAATAAAGGTAAAATCAACTTAGTAAGATGCCATGCATAACAGACACTGAGGTTCATACGAAACTTCGTCAAATGAGCATATCATAAATAATGCCCCAATCATGGTGACAAAAGAGCCCGAAGGAAGCGGACCACAATGAGCAAGTTTAGTAAGCATTGAGATATTCACACGGAATTGCTCTAGAATCCGTGAGACTAATGTAGCAAGAAGTGACAACATTTTTAATTTCCAAAAAGAGCAAGCAGCAAGCCATAAATTCGAACACATCTTTGCACATATCGGACATGCAAGATAAGGCGCCAGCAGCCTCATTATGCTTTCGGGGACTAACAATTTATGAAGGAATAACAAATATGCTTGAGCTTGGATGACTTGTGTCAATAGGTCTTTTAAACGTTGGTGATTCATTTTGAAGTTAAATCAATTTCTCAAAAGGTATTGTTCAGTTATAGCATATAATTCTTTCAGGTAAGCGAGAAACTAGCCCATTTTGGAGCAGGTTTTCACTAAGGAAAGAAAAAAGATCAAGTGTCTAACTTACATGAACCGCCCCTATAGCCATACTAGTAGTTTCTACTACAAATTCCTTATGAAAGTTCGATAATGCCACCGCAGAAGCAACAATCATCGCCTGCTTTAGTTTCTCACTGTGTCAAGCAAAATGGCAAGAATTCATGCATATACAATAGATTTGCTAAGAAAACAACAGTTGATATTAGCCAAAAAATGACAATAGTAACCCGTTAAACTCAAGAATAGGAGTTGGAGAACATCTCTTGGCGTGGGCAACAATGTCATTACCATAATTTTGTTTGGGTCCTCCATCATGGCACTAGCATGCCAATATG